TATTTAAATTTTTCATTAAAAAATGGAAAATGTAGATGAAAGTTTTAATTTTTTATTATGTTTCTAGCGGAACCTTTTTTTTTTTTTTTTTGTAAAAGTTATTATATATGGTGTAATGTGACTGAGATGTTAAAAACCAAATTGAATTAAGCAATAATATTATAAGATAATTAATTTAAACATTTTGTTTATAAAATTTATTTATATTTTATAAATAAAATATTCTATTTGTTTACTTATGATATCATTTTTTTGAGATATAATGTTTTATAAAAAAAAATGTTATTATTTATGACATTATCATTTAATATGTGCTAACGGTACATTTTACTTTTCACCTTAAAAATAAAATTTTAAGCTAAATAATTTAAGCATTTGTGTAAAATATCTTTATTTTATTGATATTTTATAAATAGTTTTTTTTATGATATTACCTTTTTTGAAAAATTAATACTTTATATAAAAAATAAATAAATTGTTATTTATTTATGACATAAAATGAATATTTCCTAACAGAACATTATACTTTCACAAAGTTTGATCATGTGTATGTGGTGCTTGGAGAAGAAGAAGAGTTGTGAAGAAACATTGGATCAGGAAGAGCTTGTAGATCTAGATGTTTCTCATCATTTATAGCTTGTTAAGGTAAAAAGTTTCTACCTTGATGACTCCATGAGTTAGTTTGTAGTTTAGGGCTTATTTCTTCATAAAATGGCCCTTTAAATTGTTCTTGAGAGTTTGAGCTACTACAGAAGGTTATAGTGTTAGATCCTAGTGTTTCTAACGTCCCTTGAGCATAAAAATGGAGTCTTGATGGATTAAGTGCAATAATGTAAAGATTGAAGGTAGTTTCATGAAGACATTATGGTCAAATCCAAGATTTGCCCCACTAAGACATACAAAAGCATAAAGATGGCAAATTTATGGCTTAATGCACTTAAATAAGTCTAGATCTATGATTAGACGTTAAGTCTTAATTGATTAAGACCTTGGATTGAGAGTTGGCCAGCTGCAGCGTACGTTGGGCGTACCTTGGGGTACGTTGTGCGTACGTGTCTGATGTCCCAATGATTCGAGGATATTGAGTACATCGGGTGTACTGGTTGGTATGTTAAGCGTACTCATCGGAGTGGCTTTTTGGACTTATTCGGGCAACGTATGGGATTTATGGACTTTGGGCCCTTGTTGGGCCGTAAGCTTTTGTTGTATTGGGCCATTAGGGCTTGGGCCCATTTTGGACATAGATTATCTATTGGGCTCCATGGCTAGTAGCACTTGGGCCTTGATGGGTTAGGCCCAATAAGTCAAGGAATAAGTATCTTTCTCATTTAAGGTCGGGATTTGGGCTTTGGACTTTCGGGCTGGATTATTGACCTAATTTCTAATTAGGGTTTCTTTACTTGTGATTTAGTGGGGATTTCCGGTTCACGAGCCCGATTATTTGTTTAACTGTCAGCAGACTGAAGTGAGTTTGCTCACTATACTGTAGGACACTAGGATACGTTATGTGCTTGTAATCTTTGTGACTCCTATTGTATGTGTTATATGCATGTGTGCATGTTTGCTATATGTATGTGGGATGAAATAGACCTGGGGGTGAAATAAACCCGATACAGCCTTGTGCTGACATATGAGTTGAAATAAACTCGGGGGTGAAATAGACCCGACATATCCTTGAGCTGGCAAATATGTATGGTATGCGGTATTTTGGGGAACTCACTAAGCTTCGTGCTTACAGTTTCAGTTTTGTTTCAGGTACTTCCGCATCGAAGGGGAAAAGTTCGGGATGATCGCATCGCACACACCACATTGTTCCGCATTTTGTTTGACTCTGATGTACTCGGATGATTTTGACACACTCTGATTTAACTATGGTTTTATAATAATGTCTTGGATGATAGTTTTATTAATATAAAAATTGAAATTCTTAGTCTTAATTTTTGGGACGTTACAGTCTTTGTCCATTGTGTCACTCTGTTGATGAATGTATGGAGCACCTCTTCTTCTCTTGTGAGTTTGTTATTGATATTTGGAGATGGTTGGTTGATTGATCTAGGATTTTTTAGGAGCCCTCTGACTCATGTTCTAGCCTTTTAGAAAAGATCAATGGATGGATGGTGGTAAAAGGAAGAAAACTGTTTCTTTTTCTCTCATTTACATTGCGTTGTGGATGATTTAGAAGGCGATGAATGCTTTGGTTTTCAAAATTGAAAGGCAAATGGTTTTAGCTGTTGCGAATGATATTAGCGTTAGCACATTTAATTAGATTAAGAATAGACCCAATTCAAGTAGTTATGATTGGTATGTTTGGTGTACGTCTCCCTTTTTGAACCTTCCTTGTAATTCTTCTTGAGCTTATCACTTAAGTTTTTTGCGTTAATATATTGATGCACTTCAAAAAAAAAAACAAATTTCATAACTGGAGTTTTAGGTTTTTGTTGTTATGTAATTTTATATTTTTAAAATCTAATAGATATTTTTTTCGAATACTTATATACAAATAAATTTATAGTTTTCAACCTCTAGCAATCAACTACCAACTATCAATCTCTAATTTTTAGTTATGGGCTAGTTTTGTCAAACATATCCTAAGTCTTTTTTGAACAGCTCATTCATTAAGACTCTAGCAAAATGCTAGAACAAAAACAAAGTACAAGGACCAAACAATACAAGAAACAAGCTACAAATGGGAAAATAAATCAATACCAACAAACAATACAAGAATATATATGTTTTGTCTGGTTGCAAGTAGTTAACTGGATCATCCGTTGATTTTAAAGGTAAGTATCTCTTTTTTCCGTTGAACACCAAATCATTGTGAGTTTTCCAAATAATCTAGACAACCAAATATATAAGGGTCCATATGAGGTTCCTTTCCTCTACGATGGATGTTTAGCTAAAATACACCTTCTAATAATGTGCTTAATTTCTTTTATAAATTTTAAATTTTCTTTTATCCACTCTTTTTTTAAAACAAAAAAATGTTATACCTTGACAAATAACCACCACTTAACAAATATAAACTATATCAATACGATAAGTAACTTTTTTATGGCATATTATTATCAAATGCCGAACATACCAAAATGTGTATTATCATATGAGTATAAAATCATAAGGTGCAACAGTTTGCCACAAAAAAGTTGTCCCTTATTTGAACACTACTTTGAGATATACATTTGAAATCTACAACAAAATTCTGATTTATAAAACTTTAGATTTTGAAAATCTGTTCTAGTAGTCTTACGATTAACCAAAATTTATCAACATTCACATAGATGATTATTTGATTATAAGAAGTTAAAACACATAATCACAACAAAGACTATCTCATATTTTTCGTTTTATTACATTTAGGGGTGAGAATCAGTTCGATTAATGGATTTTTCGGTTTCTTTGAATCGGTTTACTCGATTTGAAATTTTTTTGGTCCAATTCGAAAACCAAACCAGAGCAAACTTGAATTCCTCTAGAGCAAACCGAAAACCGAATTCTAATTCAGTTTGGTTCGATTTGGAAATCGAGAAAACTAAATATAAATATTTTTTTAAAAAAAATTAATGTTAGCAATTTTACAAACATAAATTACAAAGCTTCAAACATGAAAAACTAAAGTTTCAAACATAAAAATCTAAAGTTTTTATGATTGGTAGGTGGGATTGAAAATGAAAAGTGAAGTGTGCCCGGGAATCATGAATTCGTGAGGGTTAAGAGTCGTAAATACAGAATAGATAAAATCCTAAATTGGTAAAATGGCTCAAATGTCTTTTATATCGATTATTTAATACTTTAAGTTAATATATTAAATATAAAATATAATTTTTAGTTAATTAATCAATGCAATTGAAATTCTTGGTTTGGTTTGGTCTAAAGTTTAGTAGACCAAAACTCAAATTCAAAATTCGGTTTGGTCTCGAACCAAACAAACAATCGAATTTAAATATGATTTGTTTGAAATCGATTTCGGTTCAATGTGATTTTCGAGTTTTTTGGTTCCGGACCTAATAATTTTCACCCCTAACTACAATTTATTATTAAATGTTACATATAGGCACCATAATATGCGTCTTTATTAGATATAAGCAGTACCGTAATGTCAAAATTGTTCAATAAGACATTAACAATTGATAATATTTAATTATTTGTATGGATATTTTATCGGTGATTATTTTTGTATTTTGGTAAAAAAAAAATATTAATTATGCATTAATTTAACAATATATGTAATATATTATTGGTAAACTGTTTAATTGGTTGAATATGACTGTAAGTTCATGTAAATTAGATAAGTTGTAAAAAAATAAATAAAAATATAGAGATGTTTGCATTAACCAACAAGAAAGTAAAATATTGTTGCATAAATTACTAAAATTGAATATATTTAATATAAATTAATAAAAATATAAAATTATGGTTGATTACATCATTAAAAATTAGATTTTCATTGCATAAATTTGTACTTAACTCTTTGAAATAAGTCCAATAAAATAAGCATAAATATTGGAGTTGATAATATGAAAACACTATATATTTTATTATTTTTCTAGTTTAACCCTTCAATTTTAATTTGTATTAAAAATCCATTTGATTTTGGTTTCTATAGTTTAGTATAGAATACAATTTTCATAATACATGGACTATTTCTATAATATAGTCTAAAAAAGTAAAAGGTTTTACTAAAACTAAATCACGACCAAAATTGAATGATATTTAAAAAAAGATTAAAACTAAATTATAAAAACCAAAATCAAATGTTTTTCTAAAAATAAAAAATATGAACTTTGTTATTGGCATATATCTATATATTTGTTTATAGATGACAAAATATTATAAATTATAATATATTAATTTTTTTATAAAAATAAACACTAAAAATTAAAAAACAAAAATAGATAGTTGTTGCTTGCATATGATTTCTTTTAAGATTTTTTTATTTTTTATTTTTATTATTTTATCTTGTTAGCTTTATAAATAAAATGTTTTACTGATAGGATTTTTCTCCTGTGGACCTAACCCGCATATTGTACTTTGTGCATTTTCCTTGTATCGTCGTTACCTCCCTTTTCAATTTCCACAATCTTCTTCCTTCTTTATGATTCGTAGATTAAATGCAATAGTCTATGAATTCAACACTACTCCTAGAATCTTCGTCCTGATCCTAAAGCATTATTCCTTCGTCTCTGTGTATTATTATAAATTGTGATCAATGCAGGCAACAATAACGACGTGAAATAAAAATTCACAAATACAAAGCAAGTAATCGCAATTACCACAGCTGAATTTGGTTTTGCGTTGATCGAGTTTGAAATAAATCAGGGGGGAAATGGGAGAGAAAATGGTGAAGTATGGAATCATCGGTGTAGGAATGATGGGGAGAGAGCATCTCTGTAATCTGTACCATCTCCGGAGCGAAGGCGTCGCCGTCGTTTGTGTCGCCGATCCAAACCTCGCATCTCAACAGATTTCGACGAAATTTGCCGAGTCCTTTGGCTGGCCACTCAAGGTACAACTCCATATTGCGGAAATACGTACGAATGTATATGCATATATGAACAACTCCCTACTGCTGCAATTCAGCAAACACCTACATCAGTTTTATGATCCATTCATCGCTTCATGCATATACTGTAACGACGAACTAAAAATTTACAAACTGATTTTAAAATTTTTTGGTCGAACAATATTTAAAATTTCTCATTTTACATAAAAATTGTCATATATCTCGATTAATTGGAAAACTATTTGCATACATGTATATGATGCTATAAGATCTGAATCAACTCTGCTCAGGAATCATTGAGCCATATTCTCGTTCTTTCAAGAATTGATAACAAATTTGGTGTGGGTCCTATGAAAAGTGTAAAACATTTTCATTTTTAGAAGGTGAAACTTGGAGATTCATTTGGTAACTAATGAAATTTGATTCGACCCTAAAATGTTCATGAATCACTGGTGGCTATCCTTGTTCTATCAAGAATTGACAACAAATTTGGTGGGTCCTATGAAAAGTTTTCAACTTTTCATTTTTAGGTGGTGAATCGGATATAGACTTGCTTTCAAAATATAAACTTGTAATTTAATTAATGAATTTTAATATCTAGATTGTTGTAACAGGTATTTTCAGGACATAAAGAACTTCTAGAGAGTGGTCTATGTGATGTTTTAGTTGTTTCAACTCCAAACATGACTCATTATGAAATCTTGATGGACATTCTCAACCACCCAAAAAGTCATCATGTACTAGTTGAGAAGCCCTTGTGCACAACTGTACAAGACTGTAGACAGGTAATTTACGTAAATACCCTTCCTCATAAATTCAAACAGGACCCAAAGAAAGATTATGATTGGTTATTTACTTATAACTTAATCTTGTTTGAGTTAATAAACTTTAGGTGATAGAAGCTGCAAAAAAGAGACCAGATATGTTGGTGCAAGTTGGATTGGAGTACAGATACATGCCACCTGTAGCTAAATTGATGGATATTGTTAATGGTGGAAGATTGGGAAATATTAGAATGGTTTCCATTAGGGAACATCGGTTTCCGTTTTTAGTTAAGGTAATTGTGTTTGTTTGTCCTAGGTTTCTTGTAAAGATTAATGATCTTGATCACCAATGTGTTTTTACTTTTTTTTTATAGGTGGATAACTGGAATAGATTTAATTGTAACAGTGGAGGTACTATGGTTGAAAAATGCTGCCATTTTTTTGATCTTATGAGGCTGTTTGTGGGTGCAAATCCAGTTCGTGTAATGGCTTCTGGAGCCATTGATGTTAATCATAAAGATGAAGTCTATGATGGGAAGGTATTGTGTTCTTGATATGCTATTTGTGAAAAAGTTTGACTTCCAAGGTCAAAATCCCTAATATTTACCTTCGAATTGACATCCATTTATGTTTTTTTTTTTTTTTTTTTGTGATTTCAGGTGCCTGATATTATCGATAATGCATATGTTATTGTTGAATTTGATAATGGGGCAAGAGGGATGCTTGATCTTTGTATGTTTGCAGAAGGAAGTAAAAACCAACAAGAAATTTCAGTTGTTGGTGAAATAGGAAAGGTATTATATACAACAAATTTTGAAATCTTTCAATTGGATCAATTTCATTAAGTAAACGTTAAAGTCAAAATGAAAAAAAAAAATACTAAAAATCCAATGCTATAATTGGTAGATTTTTCAAAATATGATGCGTTAATAAGGAAGATCTTAAAGAACAATGTTGTAATAAAGGAAAATGAAAATAGAATGCTATAATAGCCAAATAAATGAAAGTAGGTTGCTATTTCTCGATTGAAATGTTTTTTGGGTTGTGAAATTTTCAGGGTGAGGCCTTTGTTCCCGAAAATCTTGTTCGATATGGTCTACGAGTTGAAGGTAGAGAAGGTGTAAGAACCATGAGAGTTGAAGATGATCGAATCAAGTACGTTTATTAATTAATTTATATATTTTTTATCAAATTTTTAACTATTTATATGTTTTTTTGTTCATTTATGGATAATTTGTGTTTTTAGATATGATGGGTTGCACCATGGTTCGAGTTACTTGGAACACTTGAACTTTTTGGCTACGGTCAAGACCGAAGGGAAGAAAACTGTGGCGGTTGATCTGCATGACGGGTTGATTGCGGTGGCTATTGGTGTTGCAGCACAACTTTCTATTGAGTTGGGAAGATTTGTGAGTATTAAGGAAGTTATGACATGATAATTTGATATTGATTTATTTGATTATTTATTGTCAAAAGAACAATGGGAGCTCCAAAAATTATCATGTGCATGCTACTCAAAAGAAATGGCATGTATTTTGATCAATTTAATTAAAATCATGTTCGTTGTGGTTGTATTAATATTTTCAAACAACGGTCTGTGTATGGATTGGAAAACTGAAACCAAAAATAAGCAACAATGGTTCGGTCTCAAAAGGATTAGATACTTGAGTTTGGTTTAAATGTAAAAATACACACATACGATAATTTTACAAATTTGAAAAGGTAAAGGAAAATTGATACGGTTCTTGTTTTGTGATCAAAATGAGAACCTGAAATAAATATATTTAGAACCACGATAAGGGAGAGGGAGTCATTCCCTCCCAACCCACTGAACTCACTGTCATATCAATTTTATCTCTTTTTTTTCTTCATCTTTCCAACCCACAATACACAGAAATCATATCTTTCTCAACCCACTCAATTAAAAAAAAATACAAAACAATTAAAGTACAAGTTTTAAAACACATGGTACAAGAGAAAATGAGAGAGAGAAAATAGAGAGATGATGAAGTGGGTTAGTGAAACCAATTAAACAACCCGCTGAAGCGGGATTAGTACCGGCAGTAACTCTATTGTAATTAAAATTTTACCTTGATTCTTTTGTATTTTTTTTAATTGAATGAGTTGAGTGGGTTGAAAAAGATAGGTTTTCGTGTGTTGTGAGTTGGGAAAGATGAAAAAAAAAATAAAAGAGAAAAAGTGATGTGGCAGTGGGTTCAGTGGGTTGGAAGACAATTACTCCCTCCTCTATAAGAGGAGTACATATAGACGTAGAACTTTAATGAATTGATTTAACTAATTCTAGTATATGATTGATCCTTGTTTGGGTCATCAAAAAATGAGCATAACTTAAGCCATTATTGATAAAAAGGTGAATGATACCCTCTCACGTACTCGTAGACGATGACGTCTAACCTGTCTAAACTAGACGATCTTGAATCCATTCCACAATTGTAGATGTGGAAAATGAGAAGGGTATAAATAGTTGTGAGAATGGTTTGAAAATGAATAAAATGTAATGGGTATTCATAGGGTTATTACAAAAAAAAAAAGAAAAAAAAAAAAAAGAAAAAAAAAGAAAAGGAAACCCCGCAAAAACTAGCTGTATCAATGAGGTGCGAGAATGATATGAAAATGAGTAAGATGTAATGGATATTTATAGGCAACAATCTCATTTCTTTTTGGTACATCCACACCAATGCGGTGCGAGATTGTCCCACACTAGAAGCATAGCATTGTGCCCAGTGCAACATGGCCACATCTGGCATCGGCCATGTTTCCCCACCCCACTTCCATACCTTTCACCCCAAGGGTGGTGTCATTTTTCACCTTCCTCCAATCTATAACAAGCTATCTCTTCTACATCAACGCCCATACCAATGTCCACTCTTTCTTCTTATTACATCCCTCAACCAACTTAAAAGATAAATTGCTAAATTAACATGATATTGTTTTGGTAACTTGTCCTATGTGCAATATATATATATATATATATATATATATATATATATATATATATATATATATATATATATATATAGAGAGAGAGGAGAGAGAGGAGAGATAGAGAGGGAAGGGTTATTTGGAAAACAAAAAAAATCCTAAAAAAACCCCAAAAATCATAAAAATGCATAAAAAATACCTAGAGATAACAAAAAAAAATTTTGACATTTTTTATGAAAAAATCGTAGGTTTTTAAAGAAATTCGCTGAAAAAAAATTTGAAAAAAAAACTTTTTTTTTATTAAAAAAAATTGATTTTTTATTTTTTTTTCAGCGAATTTTAATAAAAAGCTGCGATTTTTTATAAAAAAAATTCAAAAAAAAGTTTTATGATCTCTAAGTATTTTTTTTTATGCATTTTTATGATTTTTAGGGTTTTTTGTTTTCCATAGAATCTAAACCTCTATATATATATATATATATATATATATATATATATATATATATATATATATATATATATTATATATATATATATATTGTGTGGGGTGGTATGGATTGCCACACCCTCATATTACTCTAAATAGCTTCTTATTGTGTTTTCTAAAAAATCACTTCTGACCACTTATTGTTGCGTCGCGCAGCACGCACGCAACATTTGGTCATTCGTAACTGTTTGTTTTTCAGAAGACTTCCGACTTAAAAAGGTGTTTGGATATGTTCAAAACATTATTATTGCAACTTAAAGTTGCAAAAAAATATTCTGCAGTATTTAGCGTATTTAATTCTAGTTATGAGGATCAAAGTGATTAAATTTTGCACGCTTATAAATTATAATAATAACTAGGTGGGGACCCCCGCGTTGCGGGGGTCGGATGCGACAATTTTTTCCGTTGTTTGTTCTTTGTAAATGTCATTTGATCAACTATTTGTTTATAGTTTGAGTATTGTTATGGGGCAATAATATTGTTTCGTCATGGATAATTTTTTTTGTCGGATAAACTATTTATCGAAATATATACTTCATGAGTTTATCCTTTGGTTGATGGGATGGAGTTGGAGAGTCGGATTCCACGGATCAAATAAAATGCCTTCAATATCAAACATCAAGAGGAAAGGTATACAAAGTATCGAGATACACATAGAAGTATTCATAATAAAGTGTGTCCAATATGAAACATTAAATGAACAGAATAAATTCAACTGAGATATGTGTTATTAAAATAGGTGGGAAACCCCGCTCCGCGGGGTTCGGTTTTCACCACAGTTTTCATCCTTTGATAATTGAATCAGTCAAGCCATCTTTAAAATCACATACAGACTAAAGTTAAAAGGGCCCAAGTTAAAATTCTAAATTTTATTTAATTCATAATAACCCCGTCATCCCATAATCTTGCTGTCGAATAATACGCACTGCTTTCCTTATCATACATCTCTACAAATTTCACCTGTAGCAAATTAAAGGTAAACGATACGCTTAGTAAAATAACAAATATTTAAGACAAAAATTCACAAAATTGTGCTTATGGTGTTCATTATGTCCCCAAAACAGTCATTCATTACCCATGTGCATTTAGATGATTTTGTGCTTATGGTGTTCATTATGTCCCCAAAACAGTCATTCATTACCCATGTGCATTTAGATGATTTTGTGCTTATGGTGTTCATTATGTCCCCAAAACAGTCATTAACATTACCCATGTGCATTTAGATGATGGCATTTTCACTATTATGAGTAAAAAACAAAATACATACTCCATATTTGGATAACACAATGCCTATGTTGCATGACCTAAGAACCATGCAAGCAAACAATCAATATATGTGAAAGCAGGAATGAGAAGGAAAAAAGAATAATATTATAGTCTATTTACAAATACCTAGATCTAAGTATTAACTGTTCAAAAGAAACATCCAAAGAATAGGGAATACATTCTTCTTTTTGCAGTGGGAAATCGACATCCAAAATTTGAGATGTTTCTGCTTCAAAAACACTAAAGCCATAAAGAAAATGCTCACCGTGGTAGATATGATGAAATCTCCATGTAACTTTTCAGTTGAGACATAAAAGTATAGTTCACAAACGAATGATCTAAAAATATATCTTGAAACACGTCAAATAAAATCTAGAATTTCCAATCCAAAACTTACCTATATATAAATACCAATATTTGAAGCCAAACTATAAATTGAGAAATTATCTCTTTATGTTTTTGAAAATATATTTTTCAGTCTTAGAATTCAATAAAAATTCATCTATCATATTCTCAATTCAGATCTTCGAGTACTTCAAAATGAAGCAAGACTGGAACACAAAAAACGATTATAAAATTTACCAAAAAAGTCAATTTTAATAGTAAAATCCCAAAACTGACCGAATGCCCTGGTCTCTTTGATAACGATTTTGGTTGACTGAGATCACAAGCCTGAATTCAATCCAACATTCAGCGCATATGCAACATCAAATTAAATCCCAACAGCACCAAGTAAAACCAATAGGAAAGATAAACACAGAATTCCCAAATACCCTGTAATCAAGAACACATAAATCAATATGTCTACATTGATCCAAAAAAAACCTTCAGCCTACAAGTGGGAAAAAAATATGTTAATACAATAAATAGCAGCATGCTTCCATTTCTTCCTATTGCATCATTGTATTTTGGAAAATTTATTCAATTATAGCAAGTGAAAGTCTATCTACAAAATATATGTTTGCTTTAACAAAAAAAGGTTATTGAAACCCAAATAGGAATATAACAATTTTAATTTTTATTAGTAATTACCATTATTAAAACAACCACTATGGTTAAAATAATATTTTGTTTTATGTGATAACTATTTATAAAACAAATTAATAAAATTGATAATCAGTTATGTTGATACCGAAATTGTGAAGTTAAATATTAAAAAAAGCATAGTAAATCACTTGCACTTTATGATTAGTCGTACATGTATTTTTTCCATTCAAGTTCAGGAATACCATGCGAAGCTTGATGTGATCGAAGAACAAACAGCAAGAAGATGGCGATGTGGGACTTCTTCGTTCAGCGGTTGGGTAACAATTAAGGTTCAATCTGCCAAATATGAAGAAATCAAATGACATGTCAGAAGTGATTTTAGTTTAGTAAAGTTACGAATATTTTGATTCAGGAGCCTAATTTTGAAAACTGTAGTCCAAAAAAAGAATGAAACTAAAATTTACGTGGTTTTTTGTACTGCCTGTTCAACTCTTTGCCTAACAAACTTCACCTTTAGTTATTACTTTTCCCTCCACCACGGTAGCCATGCTTCAAATTCCTCAGATTGATGTTGTCGAAAGTGTTAGATGAAAATGAGTTTTCAAGTAATCCTAAAAATGAAAGTAAATATATATAAATTTTCAAATACATATTTACAAATACACATTAAAAAATCCAGAAATCCATTCAGTTTATTTTCAAGAAACAAAAATTGTTAATCTAATTTATCAAATGATATCATTCCAAAGGATTATGTTAACAACTATGTCGGAAAGTAAATTTTTTATTCCATTTAAGAATGATCTTTAAAGAGTTAAAGAGATAAGATGCATACCAGTTTGATTCAATCCAGAACAATAACCTGATGATCGCCTATTGCTAATAGTATGGCTGCCGGATTTTGAAGTTGTTTTATTTACCTATACATATATTTTATTACTATCTTGTAGACCCCAGCTTATAAATCACCTGACTTTGATGCCTTTATCGTTGGGGATCCGATTATAATCATCATTTTGGTTTAAAGTAGCACTAATGAGTCACTTCATATCTTGGTTCCAACAATCATGTAGGTTCATAACCAATCCTAACCAAAAAGAAAACCAATTGGATAATTATATTCCTGAATAAAGATAATGATCTGAACCAAAAACATAAAAGTAAAGGCCAAAAAACTCGATTGGAAAAAAGCCAAATTTGTTTCACCAACATTTTATGCTTTCATCAATTCCACATTAACATTTCATTTAAAATTATAATAAATGAAAAGTGAAGTATTATTTTTCAAATAGTTTAACCTTATATGATATGCTCCATTGATGTACAGGAGCAGGACAATTGTAGTTGAAAGAGATGTTGACCTGTCCGCATGACTCCAGCACTCCAACTTCCAGGATCATTTTACAAACCAAGATGAAGACCGAAGCTTCTACATACATCTCCATGTACCATCGTCTAGATCAACATAGTCTTTCATCAAACCACCTGCTGTAATAAAAAAATAGAAATGTTAAGTTTAAGGAGTTACTACACGTGGTTTAGATTGAAACATAGTAATCGGAAAAATGAATCCATGTATTTGTGTTGATATCAGGCAATGCAGTGCAAAAGAATTGTTGAGATCAAATTAATAGATGCTAACAAAGTGGAAAAGACATCAGCTTAATCAAACCATTTATAATTGTTTTTATTCATCCCCTAACCTAATACAACCAAAATTTAAGACAAATTAATAAAAATGCAATGTACCCATCAACCTAACCAGGCATATGAATAAACTGGTAGATAAAGGAAAATTATAAAAATCCAAATATACCCATTACCTTTGGAGCAATAAGTCAAACAGTGGGTGTGCGCAATTCATGCAAAGATAACATGTCGTTGTTTTGTGTTCCTATCAATGGTAGTTTCAGTTTTACCCTTCATAGTTCAAACTAAATAATAACATCATAAGATACAAGAGAGAAGAAAACATGTGACTTACAGTTAGAGACCAATCCTTTAATGGAAGACCAACAACATCTGGCTTCAATCCTGAATGGATGGAAATGGAACATAAAATTAAAATTCACTAAAAATTAATACATAAAATCAAAAAAATATGTTACCGACACCACATTTGTTCCCTGTCTCCCTCGAACTCCTTTCCGCCTTGAACAACTTCACCTACATCTATAGTCCAGACTTAACTTCTTTCATTAGTAAACTATATACCCTGAAAACTGCAAACCACAAAATAAATATGAAAAGAGAAAAATCATTTAGGATTAAAAAATGAGAGGCAGAAATGGACTCTTGTGGAGCATACCAGAGTTAATTTTTACAGGAGATGACATAAATCTTTCATATCTCCATCATCACCGATCTCAAATCAAAAAAGAATATGTTCGTTGACATTGACATTTCAGCAAACACATACCGTGCAATAGTAGTTCCTACACATGGTAAACCAGAATAACATTCATTTGTTCAGACTTCAGAACTCAATTGCAACTTCAATCAACGCTTTGTCATTTGGATCAACGACTTTCTCATTCAAACCAACTCGGAATAAGTGCAACCCGCGATAGCCCTAAACAAAAAAACCTAACCTAAGATTTAATAGGACCGATTTGTTGACTGGAGAGAACCTTCTACCTTCAAACACACACATAGAAAGTTAGAGAATATGGTTTCTAGATAAAGATTTTGTATAATAAGAAAGAAACAAACGAAATAGACTATAAGACCGACAGAGAAGAACCTCGGTGGTGCTCTTTTAGGGTTTCTATACCGATGAGAGCTAGGGAGTTACAGATGTAGCAGCGATGGTGGCTGAGTAGGTGGAGATATCGTGGCCCAGTGCAGCGCGGTTGGGTGGCGGTGCGTGCTGCTGTTTTCAGCTTTTCACGTGAGCAGCGGTAATCCATGGATTTCGTTTGAGAGAGAGAAAATCAATACTTCCCAAAATCTCTTTCGTTTCAGTAGATGGCAAAATCAAAAAAGTCGGCGCTGAAGTAGGAGAGGCGGAGGTCAGTAGCTCTGCTTGAGGCGGCAGCGACAGAGGCGGTGGCTTTCGGAGGGAACCGGTTCAGCGTTGTGTGCAAAGAGGAAGGAGACGTTCGTCGTCGCTTGAGAGGAGGCAAACAAAATGGAGAACATACTGGAAGATACCTGATGAGAGAGGCAGTGAGGGAAGATAAAGAGGCTTTACATTGTTAACATGTCTGATCACTTTCTAGAAAGAAGACACAGATGGAAACCTGTATTAGATGGAAGAAACAGATTGGTATAGGAGACGGTGGTGGAGGTCAGAACGGGAGCAGGGAATACATACCTGGAGCAAGTAGAAAACGGGAAGCGGAAAGCGGTGGAGATGTGGTGGTTGTGTTTAGAAGTGTCGTTCAGAAATGGAGGGATCCAGAAAAAATTTTGTGGGAAACACAGGAACCGAGGCAGAACCGGTGGGGAAGGCGTGGGAATGACACATATCACCGGCCATCCTTATCCTTACACAAATGTTAATAATTTAAGGGACCAAATTGTCAATACCACAAACTTTAATGCCAAAAATTTGAACCACTAAAAATATGAAAAGTTATGGGCTATTTTTGCCAAAAAAAAATCAGGATGTTCACTATTGCAAATGATGGTCATAAATATATATATATATATATATATATATATATATATATATAAAAAAGTTGTCAAAACCAAATTGATTTGCGATTTGACTCGCTTTTTAATGCAAAAGAAAAAAAAATTGTTTATTTAAGAGTAAATTACACGAATGGTCCCTATGGTTTGGGATAATTTACGCGTTTGATCCCTAACTTATTTTTTTAACTCGGAAGGTCCTTACTGTTTGTTTTTGTTACGCGTTTGGTCCCTACTATTTATTTTTGTTACTCGTTTGGTCCATGTCTTACCTAAAAAGACTATTCTTTAAATAGAAAAAATGATAGGGTAGGTAAAGTAAGGTGATGAGAGTGGGGTTTGGGTGTGTGTTTATTTAAATAAGTTAAAAAATTAAGGGAAAAATAGTCTTTTTAGGTAAGACAGGGACCAAACGCGTAACAAAAACAAACAGTAGGAACCTTCCGAATTAAAAAAATAAAATTATGGACCAAACCCGCAAATTATCCCAAACCATAGGGACCATTCATGTAATTACTCTTTTTTTAAAAATGTAGAAACAAAAATAGTCTTTCCTCTATAAAGGCCCAAAATAATGAAGCCCGGCCCATTACATTTTGTCAACCACTGACCAAGCACTCAAGCTGGCAGGCGGCGCTGTAATCCATTTCTAAGCTTGTAAATTCGGTCGTCTGTTCTACCGGCGTCTTCTTCCTCCACCTACCACCACACAAGCAACAATGGCGGCCGCAGCGTCTCTTGCTAACCCCACCACGTTTGCCTCTTCCTTACCCCGTGGTCATCACCACCAAGCGTCTGCTTCTGTCTCCACCTTCAGTTTTTCGAATTCCAGAAAACAACGCTCATTCAAATCCCTAATTTCCCAATCTATCCTGGCTTCTAACTCACCGGTAGCATGCCATACATCCATCGTCTCTGCGGCAACATCCGATTCATCTTCATCCGGTTCCGCCACCTCATTCCACGGCCTGTGCTATGTCGTCGGAGACAACATCGACACCGACCAAATCATCCCCGCTGAGTACCTAACCCTGGTCCCATCAAAACCTGATGAATACAAGAAGCTAGGATCCTACGCTCTCATCGGACTCCCGGCGTCGTACGAGACTCGATTCGTTGAGCCTGGGGAGTACCAGTCGAAATATTCGATCATCATCGGTGGAGATAACTTCGGTTGCGGCTCCTCACGAGAACACGCTCCGGTGGCTCTGGGGGCAGCTGGAGTAGCGGCGGTGGTGGCGGAATCATACGCGAGGATATTTTTTAGGAATTCGGTTGCAACAGGAGAGGTTTACCCATTGGAATCAGAGGGTAGGATTTGTGAAGAGTGCAAAACTGGAGATACGGTGACGATTGAGCTTGCACAAAGCCTTCTGATTAATCATACAACAGGGAAAGAGTATAAATTGAAGCCGATTGGTGATGCTGGACCTGTGATCGAAGCTGGTGGAATCTTTGCATATGCTCGAAAAGCTGGGATGATTCCCGCTTAGAAACTTGAGGTATTGATCACATTCATCAGTAACTGAATCTCAATGTCTTAAACTGCAAATTGGTATGTGCTAACCCTCAATTTGGGCATGAATTTTGTTGTTTGGTGGTTTATAAACTAGAAAAAAAAAACAATAGCTCTTGATCAAATTAGGATATATGTGAATGCTCAATGTCAAGTCGTTATTGAAACTTAGAATCAAAATCACACTACAAGATAATCAGTTCTTTTAAGCTATTGTTAGGCAATTTATTTTTATCTAGGGTTTCCTGGAACTACTTAGTTATGCAACTCGCATCACTCTTGATCATAATTATAATGCAGAATCAGAACATAATCATAATGGGTTTATCTGCTCATCAAAACATTAAAAAAGTTAATTAAACTGAATAAACATTGATCCTAAAATGTTAGTATCTGTATAACTTTCTCAATTGGTGAATTGTCTTCATGTTCTTTGATGTTTGTTAAATATCTTCCTTAGGTGGTTTTTGCTGAAAAATATGATTTTTAAAAACTGAAGTCACAACACACTTTCATCATCTTTTCGATTCTTCCACATTACTAATTTTTGTAGTGATTAAATCATTAAAAACTATCTTGTGATATTAGGGAAAATTATAGAAAAGCACAATGTATTTTCACTGTTTTGTCGATTTAGCCATTTAACTATTTTGTTATCTGATATACTAGTAGTATTCTACTTTTGCTTTTGCATGTATGTTAGTTGTTTTCTGGGCATTTTAGTCATTTCACCCATCTAACAACACCAAACAGTTCTTTGCAGGTGACTGTATCTGTCCATCTCGAAGCTCAGTTATGTTTTTATTTTGGGTTCTTGTCAAACTTTTAGTAACATTAATGCCTTTATATATATTTATATTAAACATCGATACTGATTCAGGTCTTGTGACTTTGTGATAAATGTTCTCACTTCACTTTTCTTGCATGCATTTTTCATTTATTCCTCTTTTGCGACTTGTATAATTGACCCAGATTATGAAAACAAATAAGATCGTTTGCTTGATATTTGCACATTGTTTTGTGATTTAAAGTAATAGTTTTTTTTTCTTTATTTATCGTTTGATCTTGTTGAAGATTCTCTTCACTTATCAGATGAACATCAATCAAGTCTCGTTTTAATGTTTTCAATTACTTGATTATGATGACATTCTGCAAGTTAGGCTGGATTTGAAAAAAAAAAAAACATTACACTTATAAACATTAAACACAAGTAAAACATAATAGTAGTAAATTTTAAAACTGATACATTTATAGGCCATGTACAATTGATTATCACGATTTGGAGTCTATCATGACCTCACATCTCTACTCTTAGCAAGTCAACATGATATGAAATGATCCTATGTTATAGTTACAATAACAATACATATAGCATGGCAAAACAACATAGTATGAAACAAATAACCTCACTTCATATATCAACATAGTATATCCACTAGACATCACAACACTTCATATCACAACAATGTATATGAACTAGACTACAAAACGCCACACAGGCACACACCATAATATAGTAAAAGTAGCATAAATTAGCACAACATATCACAAGTAGTAGTACATGTGATATAGTAAGCAAACAGACTATGTAACAAAATTTAGTAAAAAAATTACTTTTAGTAGAAAAACCATGTACTCACCTTAAAATCTCCTCTTGTACTTTACAAAGGCCTAATGTCAACTATATAAACATAAGACACTATATAATTAGAAACACATAAAGCATCGTGATTTAGATGGTAAATTTTTATTTTCATTGTTGTGACAAATCGTTTTTTCTTTATCTTCTAAAATCATATTATGCAATATGATGCATGCATATATCATGCTATGTATTCTTGTACGCTCGTATGACCGTGTCAGGACATTGAGGACATGTCAACGTCTCTTTAGAATACCAAAAGCTTGTTTGATATCATCCCTAGCTGATTCTTGGATTGTCTTAAACATTAATTGTTTTTTATTGTTTGGACATAAGAATGATTTCGCAAATATAGCTAACTTTGGATATATCTCATCAATAAGATAGTACCCATGTTTGTATGATGTTTCATTCACTTGAAATGACACATCATACGATTTTCTAAGGTAGGTGTCATTGAATAACGACGATTAGTTTAGAACATTGATTTCGTTGTGGGCACCCGATGAACCAAAAAATGTATGTAATATCTAAAGATCATTTAACGCCACTGCTTCTAAAATTACCGTCGGTTGTTTCTAATCACCTCACATGAATTGACCCCGCCACGTATTTTAGGTCACATTGCCCACCCCAATGCATACAATCCACAGACTACCAAGTATTTTAGGGAACCCATGTTTTTTTTTTCATGTGTCGTATACAATTGGTTAACGTTGTTAATTGTACGTTTATGCAAATAACGGTTGTGGTAGAGGATATTCACAACTTTAGCAAACTTGTAATGACATTCCTGTGCCGTTCGTTCTAACATCCTCAAATACTCATCTCATGAGTCCACTCCCATTTTGAATGATAATTGACGAATTGTCGATGTATATTTTTGAAATTGAGAGAAACCTTGTCTGCCTCTCGCATCCCATTTCAGTGGAAAATATAGAAAACGATTCTTCATATCATCAACTATGCGTATGAATAATTAATCTTTCCTCATCCTGAACCGACGTCTAAATTTTTTAGCATAGATAACATCATCAACAAAGCAGTCGTGTAGAACATGACTGTGTCGAGCTACACAATTTCTCTGTAAATGACTTTTTTTCTAGTTTGTGAACGCGAACTTTTGGCTTTGTTTTCTTGTAGATAAGCGAGTGTTGTTTGTATAACATTCCAAATAAACTTTGATTGCCACAAAGCCAACGTATCCGACGAAGTAGAAGATGATGATGACATTTTGAATTTGATATATAGAGAATATAGATGTTTTGTGTGGTTTAAAATAGAAGAAATGTTGTTTATTTATAGTGGAGAAAAAGAAAAATAAATTCAAATTTTAAAGGATTCTAACGGTAAAAAAAAAAAGGAAGAATGCGCCGCGTGGGGAGGGGGGTGGCTGTATAGGGCCCAATTTTTTTTTATATCATATATTTTTTTTTATTTAAAAATAAAAAACTGATAATAACAATAAGGATCCCTTTTTCTGACTCGTCATTGGCCATATTTAATTCCTCAGGATCGACCGTTTAAAAGCAAATCAAATAAAATAGCAATTGATTAAAACACAATCAAATGAAATCAAGTTCAAAACAGGAAAATACGACATAAAAAGTCAAAACTATTGTTTAACTACATCCCAAATTCATTCATATATTGTTTATTGTTGGAAATGTTTTAACAAAGTAAATTGTTATTCTCATGGGTCTCACAAAGTATATTGTTGTTCAGTTACCACCTATATTATATAAGACCAAAATAAGAATGAAACAAAAGTTCATAAGAAAATAATTGATTTATAATGTTGTCTATATCATAAAAGATGAGTTATAACTTACTTAATTGTCTTCATATCGTTTGAGTCGGTCATATAATTTTCAGAAGCATCGACTCCCTTATTGGCACAAATAGTCTAAATATAAAAGTAAAAAAATAACAATCATAAGAAAATTACATAAGTTAAACCATATGTTATAAATTACTAGGGCTGTTCACTATTCGGATAAAATCGAATTGTCCAATTGGACAATTTGGATTGGACTATTTGGTTCGGACAATTGGATTTTTGGATTGGTTTTTAGCAAAACCGAGTTATTATTTTGGATTTCGGATTGGTTTTGGTTTATAAAATAAAAACCAAATAGTCCAAAAAACCGAATAACTATTTATCATTTGTTTATTTATAAAAATTGTTTTTTTAATATACTTCTTTTAATTATTTTTTAAGTGTAAAAAAATTTTTTAAATAGATTTGAATGTATTACCCAATAAAAAACCTAAATATGTACTTCTCAAATGTTTTTATCTATAGAATATTAAATGATAACACATTTTTCTTAACGGTTGTTCATAAATTTTAATTCACAACTAAAAAATTTATTTTTGTTTAAAGTTATCTGACATTCAAGTTTTATAAGTTTTAAATGTTACGCCTCTTGAAACCGAATCGTAAAAACCGATCCAACCGAATTATAATTTGGTTGGGCCGGATCGGATTTGAATTTAGTTTAGATTGTTCGGATCTATGTTTTGAAAACTGAAATCCATTTGGATTCACTTGATTGGATTGGATTGTTCGGATCCATCCAAACGAACACCCCTATAAATTACATCATATATTCCATATAAATTACCTCAATTAAGCGTTAAGCGGGCGATGAGTGGCGAATGGCAATTGAAAGAGAAAACACATGAAGAAACAAATTCGAAAACAAAAACCGAAGAAGAAGAAGAAGAAGAAGAGGCACTCTAAATTTCTTATGTGAAACTAGAAAACCCCCAAATTTCTTATTTCACTTTTCCTGCCAAACACTGAACTGAACTGTAAGTTGTAAATTCGTAATGATAAATTCATATTTGATTTGATTTGGTGAGAAAGTAAGACATGCAACTTATCATTTATACTTATACATATCATAGAGCACCGTTGCAAATATGAAATGGAATCTGAATAGTTTGATGTTGAGGACGGTGATTGACAGAGCATAAGACTGTTATGTTGCCTTAGGCCGTCACCCAGATTCTAGTTTAACCTAACATCTTGTTCCCAAATCCTGATAAAAGACGGAAGTGAAAGGAATTGAGGATAAATCTAAGGACACAAAAGTAAAATCTTGTTCCCCATATTTTTTTTACGGGTTATCAAAGAGAAAAAAAAAAAAAAAAAGGAAGATCCGGAGATATCTTCCTCCTCCCTAAACTTCCTCCCAACTGGAGAGCGAGATTTTATTTTCGTTTCCTTCGATTTCTCCTCAATTTCTTTCACTCCCAACTTTTATAGGACACAAGATCAAGGTAAAGTTCGTTCTAATTTTAGAGAGAAAGGAAGTCAGGAGTGAAAGGAATTAAAACGACATTTAAATTATAACAAGGACAAATGTACAATTATTTTTGCAAAATTCTGGTTTTAACACGTCAAAAAGTGATGTTAGGGTAAAACCATAATTTTTTAAAAAGATAAGTGTTTTTATGTTGTTAACCCTTATTTAAGTAAACAAAAATACATTCTATGAAATAGAAAACTAAGCTTTAAAATATATACAATACTAGGTGTGACATCCATGTATTACATGGGTTTATTTAAAAAAAATTAAATATGAAATTTTAATAATTTGAAAAGTTTGAATTTATAAGAAAAATTAGAAAAAATTTGAATAATTAAAATTAATGAGGTTTTAATGTATTAAATACATTACATATATAAACTCTTTCTAATAAATACCTAACATATATATTACCTTACATATTAAATGAGGAATTTTAATTTAATAAAATGAAAAATACAATAAAATGACAAGTGAAAAATAAAAAATTCAAAAATTCTAGAAAATGACATATGTCCAAATGAAGTCCAAATGAAGGAGAAGAAGACATGTGGCAAAAAGTTCTTTGTTTATTAGGGAGGATTATAAACAAGTTTCTCTCATTGTAATTTATACCACAAAAAAAAAAAAAAAAAAAAAGTGTTCTCTTAGCAAAAACCAATCTATTCAACAAATACATTCATACATACATTTCCACATTCATACACGTGTCATGACTCTTATACTTGAATTTGATTTAGCCTACTAAGCCATATCGAATGTAGTATCATATGAAACATATCATATTTCACAGGCGTCCGATTCCAATAAAAATGTCTTTGCAACATTTTCACATTATGTTGCATAATCCGATACCTCTTGAAAGAAATCCCTAACAAAATCTCCTTCAATTTAGGAATATCACTCTCACCCACAATCACAGAAAAAGCCCTCCAATTCAACACCTCATTCAACGGAGGAACAAAATTGTCAGCAATAATCACAGGAACACACTCATTATAAATAGCCTCCACAATCCTCGGACTATTAACCTCAAATCCCATTGGACAAATACAATATTTGCTAGATTTCATGTGAAGGGAATACGACATCGTTTGGGATTGTTTATAGGACATAGGCCCAGATATTATCATTTTATCATCTTTATTAGCCCAATGTTTTAGGAGGATCGGGCGGACCCTACCGTGTAGCCCTCCGGCAAAGAAAGCCAGGATTGGGCGGCGGGAGATGCTTTTACCGCCCATGTTTCTTAGCGGTCTTCTCGGGTTTCCGATGGTGGTTTCCGGTAAGGAAACGTCTTTTCCGGCGACAAATACGCCTTCCGATGTGTCGGCATTACATAAAACTTTTATCGTGTTTTTTGTTAGTTCCTCATGCTCTTTTAACGTGTATGGACCCTAAAAAAATATAATACCAAAATATCAGGATCTCATCAGAACTCTACAGTTAAACGTGCCCAGACGAGTGCAGTATACAGTATACAGATAACAATTTACCCAATCATGGCAAGCGACTAGGAAGTGGTCCGAACCATGGGTTCGATTCCAAAACGGATACTTTGAAGAAAGTTTGTTGATATAATCGCGTAGAAAGAGTGATAGTGGTTTGATATTATGTGAGTTGGGAACATAGATAGCATGTTGAAGCTGACGTGCACTATATGGTAGGTAGAATAGGTGGGCCTTTTGTGGGTCCCGCGTAACAAATTGTTTGCTTGACTCCATGAATTTCATAAACCATCCTTCTGAAGAATAAATTCCTCTGAGATAAGGATTATGGAAAATAGGTTTTTTTCCTTCTTGATATACATATACTTTAAGGATAACCTCCATCAACTCATAGCTCCTGTTTGAAGCAATTAGTAGATTAATCATTAATCCATGTTCATGAATATTTCACAAGGTATAGAGATTATCAAGTCTACCTTTTGAAAACAGATACATTTCTGAATAAAGGGGCGTATAGATTTGGATCATGGTGATTGATATCATATGAGACAGTGTCAATCTCCTTTTTGGCATATATGAGTGCTTCATATGGTGATAATGTCTTTATATCTCTCTGCAGATTTCAGTTTATTTTATTATTTTTATTGATGACAAAAAATCTTCAATGTTCGTTAAAAGTTTGGGAATCTTACCAGATAACGCTTCTGTCTTCTTTCAGGATCAGAGGAGAAAATTGGTGTTGTTGAAATATTTGGCTTAATGACATCTATTTGGATCTTTTTTGGGGTAACTTTGACTTTCTCTTGCACAACTGCATTTGACGACTTAATAGCTTCAGATTGGTTATCTCTGATTAAAGGGGTGATTTCAAAGTGATTTGTGTCTGGAAGAGATGAATTCATTGTTGTAAGTTGATAAGGAAGCGTTTTTATTTGAAGAAAAGCAAAAGTTACTATTGTGATAATGGCTCCAATAAAGAGTAGCTTCCTCCGACCTATTCTGAACATTAAAAAGATGATAAAGTGCATTATCTTATTCATCTCCCCCAATTTAAGCACTTTAAATTCAAATCTCAATATGCAGTGGCCTCAAGTATAGAATCTTCTTCATAAACCTAGACTTCCTCGAGGAACTCAAGAACAAAAACTTTTGGAATCCTGATCCATTTAACATCTCATTAGGATCAACCCATGGTTTAAGCATATTCCGGCGTTTGAGATGTTTACAATAAGCTGAAAAAAACACATAATCATCTGTCATGTTTTGGTAATATTACAAAAAAAAAAGGGTCATAACAAATTGTTTAAATGATCCTGTGCAGAAATTTGTCTTTCGACCTCTTTTGCAATGAATTTCACTCAATTGAAGCCTAAAACAACAGAAGCATAAGGAGTGGATTATATATGTATAAATGCTTTGTATTGATCTATATGTACTGTGACCTAACTTTTTCTGAAATCCTCTTCTACTACTCTGAATCAGATTATCATGTAAGCTTTATGAGAATTAATTTCAGTAGCAAGTCAATAGAACAATATTTACAAAAACACATAAAAGCATGAACTTATGAACTTATGAACTAATCCGATTATCAGATAGAAGAAACACATGCGTGCGATAAAAAAAAAGGTCGAGGTAATGAAAATTGAAACCTCGATTGAAGTGGTGAAGAGAGTTGACTAGTCTTCGGGAAGTCGTCGGGAGATGCGTGAAAGGGTTAGGATATATCGGGGACTGAAATCGATCAGAAGGAAGGTGAATTCCGGTGAAACTCCGTTCTTGGAGGGAGAGAGGAATAGGAATGAATGAGGAAGAACACGCGGGGTGGTGGGGCACCGAAGGAGTAATGATGGTTGCTTTTTGTTGGCTTGTTTGATACTCCATTGTTGACAGAAATCCAAATCCTCTCAGAACCCCAGGTCCCAACTCACAGATTCCGGCTTTCAAATAAAAAAATAAAGTCAGTATTTTTTATTTTATTTTATTAATTTAGAGAAAACTGTGGTTTTCATTTTTTTACAAAAAATTTCAAACATGCAAAAATTGTTATTTGTTAAGGATCTGATTTTTTTTTAATCTGACGTTGATTTAACTTTCTTAAGTCGGGTAAAATTGGGTAAAATCGGGTAAAATGCAAGCTGATATTTTTTTTTATTAATTTGTAGACAAAACTGTAAAAATTGTCCATATGGTTTTTCTTTTTTGTCTAAACTTCAATTTTTTTGGATTTGTGATCGTTTTGAGTTAGTTTTGTTGCGTATTTGGTCCTTTAATGACTGTAACGCTCTTTATATATTTATTTTCTATTTTCTTTTATTTTTTAAAGTTTTTGTTATTGTTTAATATAAAAAGGGTCTCTCTCACACACACATCAAAGAACATGCCTAGTATCAAATTATGAGACATTATTCCCGTTGATGCTTGTCTTCCCGAAAAAGATCATTTACAAATTGATTAATCTACGTTTACTATGAATATCTTCTTCTAAACAAAAACCCTTACGATGAGGTTTTCTCTGGTTCAACTTTGCAATCAAGGTGAAATCGAAGTTGTTATTATCATAGTCGAAATAGCAGTTGTGTAACGCCCGCGAATTTGGGTTATACATTTCAATGATTATAAATTATAAATATTCGTTTTATCGAATAATTAAATCCTCGAATAGGATGTTCATAAATAATTAAAAAATTCTTCATACGCGATGCGAGTTATATAAATAAGAGTAAATTACTAAAATCGTCCCTATGTTTTGGTCAAAATTGCAAGTTTCGTCTCTAACTTTTTTTTTTGCACTCGGATCGTCCCTGTGGTTTGATTTTGTTGCATTTTTCGTCTCTTATATACATAAAGTTAGGGACCAAACGTGTAATTTTGACCAAACCATAGGGACAAAAAAACGCAACAAAATCAAACCATCGGGACAATCCGAGTGCAAAAAAAAAGTTAGGGACCAAATGTGCAATTTTGACCAAACCATGGGGACGATTTCAGTAATTTACTCTATAAATAATAGTTATATAGTGCATAGATATTTTATGAATAGATATTGTAGGCTTATAATATTTGTATAAAACATTATTATAGAATTTAAAGAATTACATCAAATAAACGTCTAAAAATAAAAGATGATTGTTGCAGAAAACGCAATGATGATTCTCGATATAAAGACCGCCCAAATCACACTTCGTATGAAGAAGTTATGATGTTTCGAATTCAGTTCTATACGACAAAGTGCATCGTAAAATATGAATCGGAGATAGGTTGCTTATTAGCCTAAGTGATCTAAATGAAAGTCGTAGTAATCGTAATTTTGAGAGCGCATATATAAAGAACGCCTAAATTGTAACACTCAGTTACTTCAGGTAAATTTCATTCCTTATTTAAAAGCTTGGGTTTATTGGTGGACGAGGCAAGGTGCAGAGCGAGATGATGCATATTGTACGTGTTCAGGAAAGAACGAGTGTATCCATTGCGAGTAGTCGTGGGTCAGGGATTTTATGGTGGTCAGGGACTCTTCGGGGTTGCAATGGTTGAGTTCGGGGCGGTTGGTTCGTTGAGGTCCAGTTTCAATTGTTTGGATTTGCCAGTTCAATGTATAGATTGTTATCTATACTCTGGGAGGAGCAGCAATTGATTTTGTCAATTAGCTTCAGAGTCGGTATGAGTAGCTTCACATGGGTTTTAATCAGTAAGAGGATGGGGTTTTGGATGGTCGTCAACGTGTTCTCAGTCATTGACGATTCCTCCGTGTTTCAATTTGTGAGTGGAGTATTTCGAGGTTATGAGTTGTGCGAGAGGAAGATCAATGGTTGAGGTAAGCGAGCGTGAGATTATGTGGTGGTGTATCGCAGTATCCGAGTATGATGTCGTGAGTGGAAGATTAGTGGTTGAGGCAAGCGAGCGTGAGATTCTGAGATGTTGTATCGGGGTATCCGAGTATGATGCCCTAAGTTGTTGGATTATTTTGAGACTCGAGTTTATGAGATGGCAAGTGGAGTACCGAGTAACTATTGTTCCAATGGGAACCCATCAACTAATTGTCATCGGACGGGGATTGTCCAAGAATGTGAATTGTATCGAGAGAGAGTGCGTTTGTTGCGACAATGGTCGTCAGGAGTAGTGAACGCAATATGGTGATGGCTTAATGATGAGATTGTGGGGTGGTAAGAGAGTGGAAGGATCCAGGTGGGAGTAATCACTTTGTAATATCAGGGAAAACCATGGGAGAACCCATGGCGAGTGAGTGGGTGATGTAAGCCTGCGGGGAGCCGTAGCATTCACGAGTTAGTGTGAGAGTGTCGCAAGTCTTCGGGGAACCGTAGCACTCATTAGTCAGTAAGAGAGTGTTATAACATTGCGGGAGTCGTGGTATTCACTAGTCAGGGCATGACGCAGAGGAGTTCTTAGGCTTAGGTAGCCTTGACGACTGAGTCTTTGGGAACCTGGTGGCCGGGCCAAGGGCGATACTGAGGTCTCCATGATGGTCGAGATCCGTTATATCTCGAACTGGGGAGAGGTTGTCGCAAGTCGGAAGGAATTGGAGAAGTAATGTACTCGTAGATTCGCGGATCACGGGCCATGAGTTGAGTATCAGATTGGATATGAGTGGTTCCGGTTTTGTTGTCGAACTAGACTTTCGAGTTTGAGTTTGGTCCTATGTGTAAAGGATAGATGAGTTGAGATTTTAAATCCATGATGGATTTCATTTTTATTGGCTATGGTTTGCATATGATGTTCTAGACGTGGGAGGGTCGGTTCGTTTGGTTTGAGAAGGACCGCAGCACGCATGGAGTTAGTGACTGTTAGACTTCAGAGATCGGAAATGGTGTGTGACTTCAGATTGGTTGTTATATAGCTTGGAGTAAAGCGAACTTAGAGGTTGCATGTACATGTGGTTGGTTGAGATAGTTCTGTTGGATTGAACGGCTGGGGTTATACTCGGGCTTGTGGCCATGTCGTTCAAGTTGTCTGGCGTGTAAGGAATGGTAAAGAATGATTTCGAGGATGAAATCTAATTTAAGTGGGGGGAAATTGTAACATTTCGTTTATTAAATAAATCAATATATGAAATTAATAAATGAGTAATAGCCCAAAATTCAGAATAATTTAGCAAGGTGTTGGTCTCGAGGAGTTAATTATACAATTTGAGAAGTTGGGGGTTAAAAGTGTAAGTTCCGAAGTGATTTGTACATAATTATGAAGGCAAGGACTGCTTGGTAAATTATTGGGACTTAAATCGAATAGATTTTTGGGAAGCAAGGGCTATATGGTAAATTCCAAATTTAATTTGTAAAGATTTCTGAGGGCGGGGGCTATTTGGTAAGTTTGGATCTAAATTGTAATGAATTTATGGAATTAGGGGTTAAAAGGGAACTATTGGATTTCATTTGAAAAAGAAATGATGGGGAGGGGCCAGAAGTGAATAAAAGAGCATAAGTTGAAATGGATACGGGATTACACTCGTTCATTCCCTCATTGCATCGTGAAGCCCTAGCATAGGCATTCAGTCGTCGTATGTGAGTTCTCAGCCGCCACCTATCCCTTTTCCTCATTGTTCCGATCAGGCGAAGGTGTCGCTTGCTGCTCCACCGTTGAGCACCGCCCCAACGCTGCTGACGGAGACGAGGTGTGAAGCCGGAAAGAGCCACCAGAATCCTCCGACGAAGCTGTGAACGTCGCTGTGAGTCATGGACGACCGAAACCCTTGGTAAGCTAGCTGCAATCTGATTTCTTCCTCCTCTTTCATTATTATGGCGTGTGTGTGACGTTTGTACGCCCCAGCTGCCACTGCCGGCCTCAACCGCCGGTACCGTCGCCTTTGGCGCTGCCAACCTTCAAATGGTGGCTGATGGTTGTGTTTATCGTCATATTTTATTCGTGTGATGTTGTTGGACTCGTGAATATTGCTGGTCGGGGGATTAGGTGCACCACCATGGCAGCCAACCATGGTGGCTGGCGTTTCTGCCATATCTCGCCGCCACCAGCCACCGTGGGAGGTGGCTGTGGGTGTGTTTATGGGTTTGTGTTTGAGTGTAATTGTTGATTTCGGAAATTATTGTGACATCCCCATTTTTCACGGCCAGAAAAGACCGATTTTGTTTATGCTTTATAAAAAATCAGAGTACCTCTTTTAATAAAAATGTTGCGGAATTTGTTCCCAGAAAAACCATGATAAATACGTTATCAAAGCATTTCCGAAGAAATGTATTTTTATCCATTTTAAAACATTTGGGATGTCATCGGCAATACAAAAACATAAGCACAAACAGAACTTACATTCATTTATACTAGTGCTCTACATCTCTTTTAAATCTGTCAGTGTAAAGTAGCTTCATATCGACACCTGTGATACAAATAAGCTTGAGTGGGTCAGGTTGGGAAACCTGGTGAGTACATAGGGTTTTCAACTGTAAGGTCCTGAAACGGATCTTTACCAATGATCAAGCAATGAAACAATCAAAATAAGAATAGAATAAGAAGATTAATCAAGCTTGCACACGTTTATTGCAGTAAAATGTCTGGTACAACTCGATACAGTAAACCGTAAACTCTCTGGCATCAACAACTAGACAAAGACCTACAACTCCTCTATTTATACATGACTTGAGCCGCAAACTGGGTTTACGGCCGTAAACTCACTCTTGGGCCGTAAACTACTAAACAACACCAAAAACACACTGAAGACCCATAATGAACTATTACAATGAAAGCCTAGACCAAACCATTAACTGGACCCTTCAATCTCCCCCTTGGTTTGGTGCTAGCTTGGACTCAGTTTTTGTCAATTACCAGCACATCAGATTTTCCCATAGCTCCATTCCACATCTCATTCTCAATAATCTCAGCAACCATCGAAGTGTACTCCTTAGCAGCGGATTCAAAAAGATCTTCAGCCACCTTGATCTGATGAATAGAGAGCTGATGTATATCC